TTAGAAAAGGTCAAGCGGATACCGTTGGTATTGCCTTGCGAAGAGCTTTACTTGGAGAAACAGAAGGAACATGTATCACACATGCAAAATTTGGGAGCGTGCCGCACGAATATTCTACAATAGCAGGTATTGAAGAATCGGTACAAGAAATTTTACTAAATTTGAAAGAAATTGTATTGAGAAGTAATCTCTATGGAGTTAGAACCGCATCAATTTGCGTCAAAGGTCCTAGATACATAACTGCCCAAGATATTATCTTACCGCCTTCCGTAGAAATCGTTGATACGGCACAACCTATAGCTAACTTGACAGAACCCACGGATTTCCGTATTGAGTTACGGATCAAGAGAGATCGCGGATATCACACGGAAGTCAGAAAGAACACTCAAGATGGAAGTTATCCTATAGATGCTGTATCCATGCCTGTTCGAAATGTGAATTATAGTATTTTTGCTTGTGGGAATGGAAATGCAAAATATGAGATACTTTTTCTAGAAATATGGACCAATGGAAGTTTAACCCCTAAGGAAGCGCTTTATGAGGCTTCTCGTAATTTGATTGATTTATTTCTTCCTTTTCTTCACACGGAGGAAGAGGGTACTCGTTTCCAAGAAAATAAAAACAGGTTTACTTCCCCCCTTTTAAGCTTTCAAAAAAGATTAACTAATCTAAAGAAAAACAAAAAAAGAATTCCATTGAGTTGTATTTTTATTGATCAATTAGAACTGCCTTCTAGAACGTATAATTGTCTCAAAAGGGCCAATATCCATACACTATTGGACCTTTTGAGTAAGACGGAAGAAGATCTGATGAGAATTGACAGTTTTCGTATGCAAGATGGAAAACAGATATGGGACACTCTAGAGAAGCATCTCCCAATGGATTTACCTAAGAATAAGTTCTAGTTTTAAATCCATTGCAATTTTTTCCTCTTCTTCTTTTTCGAGTTAGAATAAAAAGAAAAAAGAAAACAATTTTGCATCTTTGGGACAATCTATATTTTCGCGAAATGGATCATAATAAAATAGATTATAGGTATCTAGGGAAGATTCACTTGGAAGTAACTATTTCCTAGATACCTATGCACGGTACTTCACGATTGAATGAATCAAACTGAAAAATCCCTAAAAAAGACCTAAAGTTAAGGATTTTTCAATGGGTAATGTTGCTCCAATACCTAACCAAAGAGCTACTGCAGTACCGATTAAAAAAACGGTTGTAGCTACTGGGCGACGAAATGGATTTTGGAATTTATTGACATTCTCTAGAAAAGGTACTGTCAATAAGCCCGTCGGCACAGAAACCATTAAGAGAACGCCCAATAACTTATTAGGTACTGTACGGAGTATTTGAAACACGGGAAAGAAGTACCACTCGGGTAATATTTCCAGAGGAGTTGCAAACGGATCCGCCGGTTCACCAATCATTGACGGCTCGAGAACCGCTAAACCTACATTACATGCAATAGTACCTAGAATTACTACTGGAAAAATATATAAAAGATCGTTGGGCCACGCGGGTTCCCCGTAATAATTATGTCCCATCCCTTTAGCTAATTTTGCTCTTAATACAGGATCGTTTAAGTCAGGTTTCTTTGTTATTGGGATAGGTGAATTCTTTAAGATCCAGCCCCCAAAGGAACCGGACATGAGAATTTTTCATCATCCGGCTCGAGCAAGAATGAAAGAAATAAAACCGTAGAAGATCCATAATAGAATAAGGTATATAATGGCTCAATGGCTCTAAGTAAGAAAAGCTTTATCAGATTCTATTTTCCGAAGTTGCACCTACAACTATTCATTGAAAAGAATCCTACTCTTATGGGTAAATGCTCAATATCCAAGTGGGCTTACAAATTTGATCATGATCAATTGCTTTGTGGATTGTCTCGCGTCTCTTGATTAGTTGGTATTTATCCCCCCCAATATTGCAAGTTTCTTACGTCCAAACAAAGTATTTACTTGTTACTAATAAAAAATCAAAAAGTTTAGCCTACGTTCTTCCTTAGATCCCTTCTTTTACTCCGATAGTATTGCAGATCGCAATCGATGCAAAGAAAATGAATGCATTTCCATACTATAATAAAAAGTAAGTGTAATAAATAGAGAATTGGATCATGTCACATGACTTATTCCATTTCTACTCTATGGGATCTTACGGAGCCTCTTCATGGATGACATGGTTGAGGTATGATCATAGAAAATATTCTCCTCAAGTGAACCAGCCTATCCTTACTAGACAGGGGACTTACGTGTTGATTGGATATGGAGACACCTTTGGTCGTGAATTCTAATGTGGCAGATCCAACTCTCTATCTGCATGGCCAAATCAATAATTCAAGTCGCACACTCCCATAATCCGCCTTCTTTTCTTTCGTAAAATTAACTTCAACTATTTGTATTATTTGTATCACAATAGTTCGGAGTTGAAGAGAAGTATCTAAATGACATGTCTTATTTTAGAATAACCCATGTTTGTAGCAATGAAATACCACAACCTACCCGATATGATATATGAGAATTAGAACTCTCTATGAGATGCCTTCCTTATAAAGGGCCCGAAATACCTTGCTTACGTATCATTAGAAAGTGCATTAACATAAATACGGCAGTAAGCAGAGGAAGTACAAAGGTATGTAAACTATAAAAACGAGTCAAAGTGGATTGACCCACACTAGCACTTCCACGTAATAACTCCACTAAAGGTGATCCTATTACCGGAATCGCGTCAGGCACACCTGTCACAATTTTGACTGCCCAATAACCAATTTGATCCCAAGGTAAAGAATAACCAGTTACACCAAACGATGCAGTTAATACAGCTAAAACCACACCAGTGACCCAAGTTAATTCGCGGGGTTTTTTAAACCCACCTGTGAGATACACACGAAATACGTGCAGGATCATCATTAGAACCATCATACTTGCTGACCATCGATGAACTGATCGGATTAACCAACCAAAGTTGGCCTCGGTCATTATGTATTGAACCGAGGAAAAAGCCTCTGTAACGGTTGGGCGATAGTAAAAAGTCATAGCAAAACCGGTAGCAACTTGTACTAGAAAACAAGTAAGTGTAATTCCCCCTAAACAATAAAATATGTTGACATGAGGAGGAACATATTTACTAGTTATATCATCTGCAATTGCCTGAATCTCAAGACGTTCCTCAAACCAATCATATACTTTATTGAGATAGGTAACTAACCCGAACCCCCCTCCGAGAACCGTATATGAGAATTTCATCTCGTACGGCTCAAACAGAAACACACAAATTTTCAACGGATATTAGAAAAAAGGTTCAAAACTTCGTCAGCCACTGGGTTGGGTCGATTTGCCTTGAAGATATGAAATAAGAAAAATCCAGAATTTCTTCTTTGTGATGATAATGCCAAAAAATCTCAAGTTGGCTCGTCTATCTTTCTTTCCCAAATGTTGATCATTAGAGGCCTCTTGATTTTTCTCTTCCCTATTTTGGATTTCTTTTTTTTGTGCGTAATGCAGATTTACTCTTGTTTTACTAGATAAATAAATAAAGCAAAAATTGGAGTAGTTTTCTGGTAGAAATTATCTTGTTGCGATCCTATGAATCAGTTCAATTAAAACCTTAGATTCATACTAGAGCCACGATGATTGAGTCTCAAGCTAAACAAAAGGCAAGGGTTCTTCGAATAAGAACCGCTTGATGATCATTTATTGAATCGGTGTAATGACTCGACAAAATCGAGAGAAAAAAAGTTGTTTTTTGGGCAAACAAAATTGGAAGGAAGAAATTTTCTTCACCCCGTAGGAACTACGAGATCACCCCAAGGACGCCTTCGGCGTCCAGGGGTCACGGACCGACCATAGACCCTGTTCAATAAGTGGAACACATTAGCCGTCCGCTCTCCGGTTGGGCAGTAAGGGTCGGAGAAGGGCAATCACTCGTTCTTAAAACCAGCATTCTCAGAAAATTCAGTTGCCGCGAGCTCCACTGAAATTTGCACTCTCCCCTGTTCCCGGAGAGAAGTAGAGACCATGTGCAAGGAGTAGGAAGTCAAGATCATGCATCCTCGTTGACGAAATAAATGCAGTATTTTAGTGATTGTTATGACAAACGTGTATGGTCCTGTTCAGGGTGGATCGATCAGGAAATTAAAATATGCATGTAGACATGTAGTACGTACTACAATGCAGTTGCGATTTCCATTTCTTAATTTCGCACAAGAATTATTTAACTATGATTCTGTTCTTCTGCTTAATATAACTGGGACGCGACTACGCGTCGGTCGTCCGACGGGAAGCTAGGGAAATCGTAATGTCAGCGTCCGATTTACGTGCAAAACTATTTTAAACTAATTTTTTTCTTAAATTACTTATCTAAATAATGATCCGATTGCACCATTAAATTCATTACAATTAAATCTTAAAAACAAGACCACACATGGATATATTCCGACGAAAAAAAAAGCTTATAATTGAATTATTTTTAAATGTTACACGATGTTCCACCAGGTATATCGAAATTGTTTCGCTAAGTAGTTCGAAAATGTTTCACTCGTTTAAATAGAGTATTGTTTCACCCTATATAAAAACAATGTTTTAGCAAATAGCGAAAGAATGTTTTAGTTCACTGCAACATTAGATCTATACATAGTGAAATATTGTGAGTACACTAGGTATAACATTTTTCGGTGGAACAAAAAATATACCAAAGTCCCTTAATATGGGGTTTCCAAAATATGTGGGTTTTTTTGTTGCAATGAAATGTTTCATTCACTGCAACATTAGACATTGTGAGTACATGAGGTGAAACATTTTTTGTGGAACAAAAAATAAATCAAAATCCCTTAATAGAGAGTCTACAAAATATGTGGGTTTTTTTTGTTGCAAAAGAGTATTTTAATAAACTGCAACATTAGATTTATAAATAGTGAAACATTGTAAGTACACTAGGTGAAATATCTTTTGTAGAAAAAGGGGAGAGAGAAATGAGTGGTTCCAACAGATACGCACGTGGAGGAGGGACGCGCGGGGGGAGCATCCGATCCGGCTCCCCCTGCCGGACGCCCGGCAATGAGCATTTTCGATATAACTGGCTTATGGTAATGTCATCATTCTTGTCATTCTCATCGTATCTATAGTTAGCTCCAATAACTTGGGACTGCAAGAGAGCAGACAGTCCTGCGAGCTCCAATAACCTGGTAATGAATCCTGACGAACAGACCAAGTACCAGTCAACATCGACTTGTTGCTGTTACATCCTGCCTAGGTGGTGTACATTACACAAGAAATTCAAGAGAGCAGACAGTCCTGCAGCTCCTCCCTTCCCTGCTAGGCTGTTACTCCTCTATGGTCACCTGTGCTTGATTTCATCATCTGCCTTGATCTCAGAAACCATGTCTGTCTTCCTGGGAGGATTGCTACAGTCCCTGTCTCTGCTCTTCCGGGCGGCCTGATCCGGGCCATCTTGGGGATGATACTTCTGCTCGGCAAGAAACGAGAGCGCCGCGACGACGTCGCTGATCATCGGCCTGTTGCTGGCATCCTCCTGCAAGCACATGGAGGCGATCGCGAGAGCTTGGTAAAGCCCCTTGAGGGGGAATTTCTCTTCCAGCAACGGGTCAGCCAGTCTCACGAATCTCTTCTTGTCCTTGACGAGAGGTGCCGCCTGTGTTTGCACACACAGAGAAGCCAGTTAATTAATGCAGCTCGAAATCGGTTAATTTTTGTAGGACGAGGGCAGTGAGTTGCTCACCCATTGGACGAGAACCTGCTCGTGCGTCGGCCTGGAGGTATCGATCGCCCGCCTGCCGGTGATGATCTCCAGCAGCACGACGCCGAAGCTGTAGATGTCCGACGTCTTGGTGAGCTTGCCGGTCATGGCGTACTCGGGGGCGCAGTAGCCGTACGTGCCCATGACCCGCGTGCTGACGTGGCTCTTGTCGCCGACGGGGCCGAGCTTGGCGAGGCCGAAGTCGGACAGCTTGGAGTTGAAGTCCTCGTCCAGGAGGATGTTGGACGTCTTGAGGTCGCGGTAGATCACCGGCGGGTTGGCCACCTCGTGCAGGTACTCGATGCCCTTCGCCGCGCCCACCGCGATCTTCATCCGCGTTTGCCACGGGAGAGGCTTTGCCTTTGGAGGGAGATCTGCACGCACGCACGCTCGATCGATCAGCGGATTAATCGACGGCATGGCGATCCAACGCTGGCTGTGCCGCCCGTACGTACCTAGGAGATGATCCTCCAGCGAGCCGTTCCGCATGCACTCGTAGACGAGGATTCTCTGGTCCATGTCGGTGCAGTAGCCGAGCAGCTTGACGAGGTTGGGGTGGTGCAGGAGACTGAGCATCAGCACCTCCACCAGGAACTCGCGGTTCCCCTGGAACCCGTCCTTGTCCAGCTGCTTGACGGCGACGATCTGCTTGTTCATGCATATGCGTGCGTTACAGCGCAGGCATGGACATGAGTACATGATGACATGTAGCATATTGATCGGTGCCTTACCTCGTTGATCTCTTCGAGGTGGCCTCTGTACACCCTCCCAAAGCCGCCTTCCCCGAGCAGGTTGTTCGGGCTGAAGGAGTCGGTGGCGTTGCATAGCTGCCTGTACGTGAGCACCATGCTGGGGATGTTCTGGTGGGTGATCCGTAGAATCCCCTCGGCTGCGTACACGTTGCAGACATCTGCAGCCATGCGTGCGCAACAGCTCGTGCATGATCAGCGTGATCATATCGAGGGACGAAGCATCGGTTCTCTCTATGCATATTTTGCTTGCATATATCATATATGTTTACCTGACTTGGACGATATGTCGTTCACGAGGTCGGCCACGGCGTCGTTCTCGTAGCGCCTGCAGCTGGCGCGCTCGCTGCCGTGCTCGGTGGCGGCGGCGTCGCCGTAGTGATCCTTCTTGGCCTTCTTCTTCTTCTTCCTCCAGAACCTCTTCTTCCTCCACCTCTTCTTATCCGGCTCGGAGTCCGCCGCCGAAGTCGACGCTTCCTCCTTGCCACGGACACCGGAAGATCCAATGGCGCTGGCGGACGAGCAGCGACAGGTGCGGCCGCCGCGGAGGAGCGTCTTGCCGTTGCAGCATCTCTTCATCGCCGATGTCAACAGGTCCATCGCGCGAATCGACGCGAGAGTGGGGAAACACCCTCGAGCCGATCCGCGGGTGAAGGCCGGGCGAATTTGTTGGGATACTTCAACAGCGACGCGGGCCACAACTTGTGGACGGGATCCGTTCTTCTTTCCTGGAGGTAGCTGGGACTTGGGAGGCCAGGATCCAAATTTGGCAAAGCCATTGTTTGCTGTTCGATCGGTCCTGTGTGTCTGCATGATGGCAGTTAAACTGGTCATATGAAGTGTCGACCGGGCACTTTGAAAGGTCTTCACGAGAAGTAGGAATCTTGCATGAATGCCTTATAGAAATTCCCCTTGGGTAACCTTTTTTTAATGATGAAAATAGATTACATATTTAGCTTCTATCATAAGACATATAAGCTATAAATTTGCCAAAAAAAAAGTAAAGATAAAAACAACTCAAATAAGAAACAAGGTGATGGAACAAATCCCCAACTCCCTTTAGCAACTTAGGAAAAGAAAAAACAAAACAAAACAATCTTAGTTGTGTTCTTCCTCCTTCTTTCCCAACTCATCTCCCTCTTTTTCGCGCGCACGTTTTTTAAATTACTAAATGGCGTATTTTTTTCATGTTTCCTATATAAATGTTGCTTTAAAAAGTCATATTAATCAATTTTTAAGTTTTTTTTAAAGACTAATTCATAATTAATCATGTGTTAAATGGGCAACACCATTTTTCGTGCGGCTCTACCTCCCGAACTGGGCCTTAATAGAAATACAAATCCTTATGTGCATAAAAAAGTAATATAAAAAGGTTCAAATTTAAAAATTCGAGTGATAGTGAAAACTAAAAGTCAATCGGATTTGGATCCGCGGTCACAAAGATTAAAACTCCTTTTACCTTTTCTTTTGGGAAACATTTAATTCAAGGAGTCGTGTTTTTACTAATCTAAAGCTGGCGGTTCTGCCAGCATTTGATTGGTCCACGTGGTGCCATAATTTGTGAAATCTTTCAATGAGTTCTGAAAGAACTTTTCTTTTTATAAGTAAAGATCATCACAAATAAAGTGCTAAAATTCAATCCCCTATTTTCTTACATGAGTCTCTAATGGGATTTAAGGATAAAAATATCTAATCCTCCAAGGCTGCGTTCGTTCCATATACATTGAGATAGAAAGTACATCGTTTTCTACGCGCACGCTTACCAAACTATTAAACGGTGCGTTTTTTGCAAAAATTTTCTATAGGAAAGTTGTTTTAAAAATCATATTAATCCATTTTTTAAATTTAAAATAGTTTATACTCAATTAATCATGCGCTAATGGTTTACCTCGTTTTGCGTATCTTCCCAATCTTCTCAATCTCCTATTCCTCAAACACACCCCAAGGCTTGCTCCCAACTTGAGTAGAGCTATATTTAAGAAGAAGAGAATGATTGATTTTTGGGGATAAGTTTGAGGTTATTGTTGGAAGTTAATTTTTGCTTAAAAACATGACATTATGAAATTAGGAATAGTATCATTATCTAAAAAAAAAGAAATTAGGAATAGTATAAGACAACTGTTGGTCACGCCCCACGCTCTTCAGTCTTTGAGGTGAAATCAATTTTCGTAGCAGTTGAGAAATTTTTCTGAGTTTTCAAACAAGAATCACGGTGAACTGGTCCCACCTACCAGCCACCGCTCGCTCTCCTCGGTGGGGGAGAAAAGTATACAACGCCCGCCGCAAGAAAAGCTCGGAGCCCACCGTCCCCCGATCCCGACCGCGACCCTCCAATGCTCCGCAGCACGCGGCCATGGCGTTCCTCAAAACCCTGAACCCTCTCCTCCGCAGAAGCCCCACCCCGATCCCGAACCCCCGCTCCCTCCTTTCCCTCGACGCCTTCCTCGCCGCCTCCTCCCCCACCGCCGCCTCCCACGCCACCGCGCCCGCGCCCTTCGCCGCCGCGGCGCACCACCACGTCCCCATCCGCTCGGGGGGCCCGCTGTTCCTCTCCTCGCCGCCATGGATGCTCTCCCAGTCCGCCACGCCGCTCACCGCCGCGGCCGCCGCTCTCCGCGCCAGGCTCCGGAGGGCCCGCGCGCTCGCCGGCGGCGGCGCCCAGGCTGTCGCGGACGCCGTAGGGTGGGAGCCCAGGCGGATCTCCAGAGATGAGAGCGAGGTGGCGGAGGCGGTGACGGGTGGAAGGGAGAGGTTCCTGAATCTGCCCAATCTGGTGTCGATTGGACGCATGGCGTCGGGGCCGGTTATTGGATGGTGAGCGTTTTCCTTTTGAGTTCTATGTGTGCTTAACTGTGAAACGGATGGAAATTCTTAAATAACTCCATTTCATGGTTGGATTGCGCCTGCTAAATTACAGAATTTTAACTGGGTTCAGCTAGTATTCCATTCAAATAAAACTGCATTGATTGTGTAAATAGTTTTATTAGCGGTACACTGTCTGGATCCAATCTAAGAGTTTGTAACCCTGAAGCCATGAATTGCCATGATACGGTGATTTTATTAGGTGCTCCTGAGCTTGTGGATTGGTGTATAAATTCATAGAAATATTGATTCGATGCATATGCATTGAAAAGTGCTGCCTGTGTTTAAAAATTTAGGGCATGGTTTATCTTTCATGTGGATCAAGGAGACAATGAAAATGACTAGACTATGCCCAATTATTCTCTTAAGTACTATATTCAATACATGCATACAAGAAATGAAAACGTGAAGCTGAATATTTATTTTTGGCACAGAGGAACAATAGTAATCTTGCATTGGAGCGTGAAAATGCCCAACATTTATTGGGATCACCATTCAGAAAACCATATGCAAAATTGAATGGATGGATCAACTAAATTTTATTCCTGTACAATGCCTCTTGCAAATGGAAGGACATGCAGCAATCTGATCTGTATTTTGTGTGTATGATTATTTAGCTCTAATAATCTAATAGGGAATGAGTATACCATGATATGTTCTCTTGAGGCTTCGCACATTTTTACAGTTTATTACATTTCAAGTTAGTTTGCTGATGGTGGCAAACTTGCTTTTGAATGCTGTAGATTGACAGGTTGAGAACTTGAAATACTTATGTGTGAGGATAGTGTAGGAATCTGCTAAGACGTCAATACAGATATGAACTAGGATACCGGAACTTCCCGTCAAGGATTACACTCTATCAAATGGAGGATCTGCCGCTTTATGTTTTGTTTCTGCTTGATTAGTTTGTGGCCCTGGATATTTTGTCTTATCATGTTATATTTTAGATATAGTATGCTATTAGCCTATTATTTTGCTAATTCTTTCTTTGGTCTTGTTATGATTCTAATGAACCAATGATGTGCCTCAGGATGATTGTGAATGAATGGTATCTTCCTGCTTTTGGCACATTGGCTTTGTCTGGTGCAAGTGATTGGGTATGGATTGCACCTTTTTATTATCAATAGTTTGTATTGATGCTAAGATCATACGCTAATAACCTTACTCATTGTGCTTATTTGTTCTTTGACTGCAGTTAGATGGCTTTTTAGCGAGAAAGATGGGCATCAATTCTGTGTTTGGATCTTATCTGGACCCATTAGCTGATAAGGTTGAATTTCATACTTTCTTGATTTATGTCTCTTCATTAACTTATTCACATATACAATGTCTATGTTTTGCAGGTGTTGATTGGCTGTGTTGCCATAGCAATGGTTGAAAAAGACCTCTTACATCGTAAGTAAAGCAATGTATACTTGTTTGTCAGTTCTTTTAGCATTTCCAAAGCAGAGCAATTACTTTGCAGTTTGCTTGCATCCCCATCTATGGTACCAGTTCTAGTTATGTACTGACGCACCATTCACCAACTTAAAAAAGAACTATTATGATTGCTAGTGACTTATTCTTGTTGCTGTATTCTCCTTTGAATAAATAATTTGGTCAATAAATCAATTAATTTGTATTTTTAATGGTGCTCAAAGCTGGGCTTGTTGGCTTGGTTGTTGTAAGAGACTTGCTCCTTGTGGGTGGTGCTGTCTACAAACGAGCTTCCAGTCTGGGATGGAAGGTAGACTGTTTTACGGAAACTTCAGGATTTTTTTTGGACTATTAAAATTATATTAACTGCTGTATATTGCCCTTGTGCCAGTGGAACAGTTGGTCAGACTTTGTTAACTTAGATGCAATTCACCGTGAGAAGGTCAAACCTCTTTTTATCAGCAAGGTGTGGCTTTGTGTTATCATAACATTTGATCATTTAGGATTATATCCTTATATGTCAAAGCATGACCATATTTTTTGGGTCCAGGTGAACACAGTTTTCCAATTGATGTTGGTTGCTGCTGCTCTCCTCCAGCCAGAATTTGGCACAGAGGAGACTCAGAATTATATTACAGTGTTGAGGTAACTCTTCTCTAATCTTATGTTTGTGTTACTTTGTAATTTTTAACCTTTATAAAACCAATTAAACCATTCCTGATGTGAACATACTGTAATGTAAACCCAATAGTTTTAGAAGAAACACTCACGTAGAAGAAAAATCAAATACAAATAGGTGACAATTGTAATAAATGGTTGCAGCTAGAGGGAAACTTGAAGATTTTGCTAACGGAATGTTGTCTGATCCTTTATCTTTTCTGTGTTTCATGCTTTATTTCTTTTGTTTCTTGAAATGCAGCTGGCTTGTAGCTTCTACAACAATTGCATCCACAGTAGGTTATGGTATCAAATATCGTCAGATTAGACCAAGAAGATGACGGCTGTTGCGTGTGTTTGTTTCATCGCTGATGAGAACATCACGTCTTTGTTGGTAAGCATGTATTGATTCTCGGGCGTGCATTGGAGTTGTTAACTTCCTATACATGGTCAAAGATTGGCGAGCCTTCAACGTTTATTTACGAGTTGTTTCCTTGGCCATGCAGTTGTTTGTCAAGCATTTGGAGCAAGACACTGAAGGAAGAGGCCAGACTTCTGAATGAATCAGCTGATGCTTTATATGTTAGGCCTAGGAACACTAGTTAGATTTGGAAGTTTTTTTTCATAATATCACTGTTTTTTTGGCTAAGAGCTCAGATCGGATACTAGAGGGCGATGTAGCAGAACTTTGTCTATAGTTTCGTCCATATCGGCTCTGATGTCGGGTGTTCAACTGTACATATCTGTTTTGTAGTACTGTTTTATAGAGAGAATCACGACTGGTGGAAGCTGGCTGGTTGATCGGTGTTTGTCTTGCCCATGCCTCTCTCTGGATGGCTTGGTTTCATAATTTGGTGTTTTATAGAGAGAAAAGACATCTGCAGATGGTTTCATAGTAATTTTCAGGGCATTATGGTTATTTTACGGCCTGCAGACCGCGACTGGAAATGTATTCCCGTATTTCACGGCACTTAAATTAGTGGAAGTACCAAACGTATGGATTTAAAAGGTATTCTTAATGTATACTGTTACTCCATGGTATTGTGTATTGTTATACCATTGTCAAATACATTGTTTACTGTTTTACTCGACTTGCTAATTTGGCGTGGTCTATAAGACTATATCGCGATTACGTGAGCATGTTCAAAGCACAAAAAAGATAACCCGAAAAATATAACCTTTAAGCAAACCTCCATGGGATACACCCTTATCAAAATAAGTTTAGGCTGTGCTTATCAAAATAAGTTTAGGCTGTGTTTAGTTTCTAAAATTGGGGAGAAGTTTAGAAAAAGTTGGTAATTTAAAAAAAAAGTTAGGAGTTTATGTAAGTATGAAAGTTTTGGATGTGATGTGATGAAAAGTTGGGAGTTTTGGAGGAAGTTTAGTGTGAACTAAACGGAGCCTTATTTATCATTCATAGCTAAAAATAAATTCATTGACAGAGGGAGTAGAAAGCTTTGCTCAAGCGTTGAATTCGTTCTCCATCTCGTCGTTTTGAAGGCGTAATACTTCGGTCCACTACTTATTTTTCAACTTTAAACTTTTTCTCCCTCGTTTCTGTTAGTATGCCTTTTAAACTATTAAGTGATCTGTTATTTTTTTAATATATATATAAGTTATTTAAAAAATTAAATAAATCTTATTTTTAAATTTATAATTATTAATACTTAATTAATTATGTGCTAACGAATTTTCTCGTTTTACACGCTAAAATTCTTGTGGTATACTCCCTCCGTCTCAAAAAGATTCAATTTCTAGGTTTCCGTATATAACGTTTGACCATCCGTCTTATTTGAAAAAAATATGAAAAATTTTAAAAAAAATAAATCACACATAAAATATTATTCATATTTTATCATCTAACAACAATAAAAATACTAATCATAAAAAAATTCATATAAGACGGAAAGTTAAACGTTCGACACAAAAACTCAGGAATTGAGTTTTTTTAAGATGGAGGGAGTACGTTTTATTATTTTTATAAATCTTGATCGGATGACCCCCCTTATTTTTATAAATTTTATTATTCTTTTAATTTTTACTTTTACCCTATTGACTGCTGTACTTCTGTTGGTCCTTCGGATGGGATACAACCACAATGTGGCAAAAAACCAGGTAACAAGCATTTATTTCAAGCCTACTACCCAGTAGTAAGCATTGTGGGAAGAGGTAGTAGTTACTACCTGGTATTTGTGCTATTGCCGGCAACAACCAAATAAAATATGAAGATTCTGACAGGATCCAGGTAATGGAGGGTTAGGATGGATGGATTTTTTCAGGTGGACCCCACCTTGTTTACCACTACACTCATATAAGCATTTGCAGCTTACTACCTCCTGGTCATGGGGCCATCTTATTTACTAGTTGGGTAAGATACATTGCGCATGCCGGACCTGCAACAGCTTGGCGGGATTTCCGAGAGAGGGAGGGAGACTGGGAGAGTGGTGGAAACAAATCCCGGGTTCCCTGCTCGGTGGCACGCCCAAAACTCCGAACTCTGAACAAACCTTTAAACCCTAGCCTCGTGTGGCGTCGGCTTCCCCCGGCGATTCCAAGGGAGCAGTCCCCTGTTCCCTCCATTGCTGGTGAGATCGCCGTCCTGCAGTTCCTATTTATTTCTTTTGGTGTGTGTGTGTTTCGCATCGCGTGATAGTACTCGAGCGATCGAGCTAGTTCTTCCCCACTTCACCCGCAAGTTTGCTTAAGCCTGTTCTGCCAGCGTACATGTAGATGTAGGCAGAACCGCAGAAGCCAGTTTTTAGCATTACCGATCTTTGATGGTTTTTTTTTGTCTAAAAAAACTTCTTTTTTTAGTTTGAGGGTTTTTTGTTGGTTTAGAATCATCTTTTTCTTTGGTGGTTTGAGTACCCTTCACCACCTGGGAGCACAAAGATTATGGTGTGATCTTACGATGAAGGGACCAACCCGCCCTAATATAGCAGGGATGCAATCTTTCAAATGAAACATTGGTTGCAGTTGTTTTTTTTTCTCAAGAATCTATTTCTCTAGGCTCCTTATGGTTTAGTATTCAAAGATAAACATAATAACGGTTTTGAATTTCGGATCGGTGTACCAAAGCCTGAGTGACAACGTTTGATGGTAAGTGGGATTTATATCAATCTGATCCGATTTGCTACTGTAAGAGAAGACTTGATTAGGTGTTAGTGGTTTTATGTTTTATCAATCTGATAAGGTATTTAAGCAATGGATCATTCTATTGTGTGCTGTGCAAAGCAGTTTAGGTCTGCTAGAGATTGCCCTGCTCTGTGAACACAAATTTGGTGGCCCAGTCATTGCAATCATGATGAGAGTCCACCAAACTTCATTGCATCATGAAGGGGCCAATTGAACAAATATAAGCTTTACATGATATGGGCCGTCCCCAGAACATTGCACTTTAAAGAAGGGGGGGGGGGGGGGGGGATATCATTACTTAATGTGTTAATAACTGTGAACCGTGTGCATGGCAGGTGTCAGGTGGTTAAGGAATCTGAAGTAGGGTTGATATGGAGTCCACTGATGAGCATGCAATGGAGAGTGACACTGATTTGATCAGTGTGCTGCCTGGAGAGGTCCTACAGCATATCCTGTCCTTTTCAAGGATTAGAGCAATTGTGAGGATGCGCAGGCTTTCTAGGAGGTGGATGAGAGTGATTGAGTGTCTGCAGTTCATATGCCTTGATTACAGAGATTTTAAACATTGGAAGGTTGAGAAATTTGCTCGCTTTGTGGACAACCTATTACTCATCCGTTCTAAAGTAGACCTGCATACTTTCCAGCTTTATTGGTTTCATTATCTTCCACTGAACTGCAATGATCTTAGGAAGTGGATCCTCTATGCGGTGAAGCACAATGTTAAAGTGCTTGATGTGGAACTGGATATGTATGATAAAACGGCCTTACCGTCTCGCATTTTCACCTGCCGTTCAGTTGAGGAGCTAAGTTTGCAGATGGGAGAAGCCCCTGATGAAGATCTTGAACACGTAGGCCTTGTGCTTCCGGACATAATTCAACTTCCTTCTCTCAAAAAGTTGACTCTCTCTGATGTAGAAGTGGACCAGCTTTCTCTGAACCAATTCATCGGTCGGAGCCCTAACCTAGAAGATTTGCATTTGATAAACTCGGCAACATATCTTGATCTGATTGCCTCCAAAGTGCTAAAAAGGCTAACTCTTGATGGCTTCATGCATGGGCCCAAAAGATTCACAATTTCCGCCCCTCATCTCGTTCACTTTGAGTGCCAGGGTTGTGCACTGCAAGATGTTTCTTGGGGAGAGAAACCATCTCTAGAGAGTGCACACATAGATACTTGGGGGAAGAAATATGATGGTGAATCTGAGTTTATTGGAGTACTTTTATCTGCCAAGACACTCGCACTATTTGGTTCTGACGTCAAGGTATATTCGCAAAAGACAAGCCTGCTGTCTTTTGTTACTTCTCTACTCTTTTGTTTTGCAAAAATCTTGACTATATTTATTCTAGTTAACTACTCTGAATGAAAATGTGCATGGCTTGAAACTATACCAACTTGGTATCTAGGGCTTGTGTAACCGACTAGAATCTTGGGGATTTGATATGGAAAAAAGGGTTCTATTCTGGAAAGATCAGATCATAGCTGTGTCTGTGTCTACTTGCTGTATATCTTTTCTAATTTTGCCCTTCGTATATGTGTCCTGCAAAAAGAGTAAGTTTGCTAGTTCAGTAATTAGTAGTTCCTTTGATCTGTTAGTTTCTCCCATACAACTTTCAAAGCTGTCAGCTGTAGTATGAAAAATTTGTACGATATGGTCTCACGGTAATCTCATGGGATGAATGTGGAATTTTCTTTCACATGTCAATATTACATTGTTATTATGCTTGGAGTTTGGAAATGTCCTGGTTTTAGTTCTTAGTTATGACTTGCTCACTCACTCAATACAAGGTTATGTTGGAAAAGGAGCTGCCGGCATGTCCAGTGTTTGAGAGGCTCACAACTCTTGAAATTGGTAAGTGGTGTTTAACTGAGGATTTCTATACTGTGCTTCGTTTCCTTCAACTTTCGCCGAGACTAGGAGAACTGACATTGATGCAAGAGGAGGTATGCCGCACGTAAAAATCTTGCATCATATTGGAAATTCCTCATTAAATACACCCCTCTTTTTATTTATTTCCTGTTATGTCTCTAGCTTCCTCACGCAGCAAGAAAAGGAGCAGAAACAGATGCTATGCCAATTGATGGAATGACCTTCCAATGTCCGTTCCTTGAGACTGTCATAATACAATGTTCCAAGGGCGATGATGGGATCAACAAGCTGGTGAATGTTCTGGCAGCAAATGGGATTAACCCAAAGAAGATACAGGTTAATTTCTATGAAGATATCGAAGAGATGGAGCGGGCTGAGAACAGGCGCATCATAGAGGAGCGGGAGAAGGAGCTGTGCAACTTCGAGAAGATGGCGAAGAAAAACCCAGAATGGGTCGACGAAAGCCGTTATGCTGACAGTAACCCTGAAACTGATAGCGATGAGTATGATGATGACTACGATGATTTCTAGAGTCCTGCAGGGTGTGCTTCCATCCTTTCGCGGCCGCATGAAGCCTGCATTTTATCTTCCCTTGGAACTGACTTGGTGTAATGGTGTTAGAGACTTTAAGCATTTGCCTGTTTCTGTTTATTTTGTGCTCGTGACTGCTGGACTATAATGGAGCAAACAAGACAATTTGTAGGCACTAATCCTTTGCGGTTTCTGTTTGATCATATTGCTTTCTCCATGGTACCTCTCAGCCTTTTGCTGCTCTTGACATATCTTGAGCTCTTTGAATTTGAAAGTGAACTTGAGAGTGTTTTGTTACATGAGGTCGAAAATCAAAAACAAATTTATAATGAGAAAATATCATTGGACAGACCAATGACAAACCAGTTGTCCAATCCCAAGCTGACTGGCAAGATTTGGGGTCGGTTCAAGGGAGCCGTCCGATCGTCCGTTAACGGATACGATTTAGTCAGAAACAATTGCGAGGAATTTTAACGAAGGCCCTTCTTGTCATGGGCCTCCTTTCTTGTGCTTATGTTTTGGCCCAGTAGCTTCATACCCATACCCCCAAGCAAAACCTAGCCGCTCGCCGCCTCCGCCTCCGCCGCCGCGACGAGATGGAGGTCGACAGGGCCGCGAGCGCCGCCGCTGCGGGGGAGTCCTCCTCCGCCGGCGCGATGGCGGTGGAGAAGCCGCGGTTCGAGGCGCTGATGCCGAGCGAGATGAGCGGCGGGAGGCCCCAGTTCCGGAAGGTGCCGGTGCCGCAGCACCGCTTCGCTCCGCTGAAGAAGGCGTGGATGGACATCTACACGCCCGTCTACGAGCACATGAAGATCGACATACGCATGAACCTGAAGGTAGATAAACCCGATGCTAAAAACTCACTCTTGGTTGTATACTTATGATTCTGTTGTTCGGGGCCTCAAATTGGGCTTTCGTGTAATATGTGGTTGCGAATTCGGTTTTTAAAAAAAACGTGGTTGCGAATTGCGAAGGGTGAGACATGTCCTGCCAGGCTTCGTGATTTTTGAGCATGACGCCGGGGTGTAAAAGTTTCATCTTAGACATTTACAGGTTAAGCGATTGTGTGAACCATATAGTAATAGTTAGAACAATTATCGCAGCTGTTACAAAGTTGGTAGTGACATGCTTGGTGCTAGAGGATATCTTAGCTGGTGCTAGGACTAAATGGTGGTACTGTTTAGTTCAGTGGATCATGGTGTAAAAGTGTGCTCCTTTTATGGCCATTCCTTATGTTGTAGATTCCTCATTGGAACTGGAAAGCCTTTCATGGATGCGTCTGGTGTAAGAGCTTTCATGGATGAGTCCGGTTTTAACAACAAAGTTTTGGCAATATGACTGAATATAGGAATACAAAAAGAACTAAGTTAGTATTGCTTATAGATTCAAGTTTGCCAAACACTTGGTTATTTGTATTTCGATTCAAGTTTGCCAAACACGTGGTTATTAGTACTATGAATGTACTATGCCAATTCAGTAAAGGAAAGTGATGCAGAATAAGTACAAATCACAAGAAGAATGCAGGTTGTGTCTAAAACGTGTAGGTAAATTGGTTTTCTTGTGAATTTTCAGTTATTACTAAACTCGAATGGTGGCTACCATGTTTTCTCTGATGTTTTTTAGGTAACGCAACGACTGCCATCAGTGCTTACATTATTTTACTTTCTGAAAAAGAAAATCCTGTATTACCATTTTAATATTGAATGCTCATGCCTGCACTGTATCCACTATCAAGCTTTTCAACCTGTTTCTGTTATCCCAGGCAAGAAGGGTGGAGCTAAAAACAAGGCAAGACACACCAGATGTGAGCAATCTTCAGAAGTGTGCAGACTTCGTGCATGCTTTTATGCTTGGATTTGACATCGCAGATGCCGTTGCATTGCTCCGCCTTGATGACTTGTATGTGGATTCCTTCGAGATCAAGGATGTGAAGACACTCCGGGGTGAGCATCTGTCACGTGCTATTGGCCGTTTGTCAGGGAAAGGAGGCAAGACCAAATACGCCATTGAGAATTCTACCAGGACTCGCATAGTTATTGCTGACACAAAGATCCACATACTTGGATCCTTTGTTAACATCAAGGTTGCTCGGGATTCACTCTGTAGTCTCATCTTAGGTTCTCCTGCTGGCAAAGTGTATTCAAAGCTAAGGGCCGTTTCTGCCAGGTTGGCTGAAAGGTATTAAATGAGTTTTGGTCCAATCATATAGTTGCAGTTTTGATCTTATAGTATGTTCTACTAGCTGATTTGTGTGAGTGGGCAACTTATTGTAATGTTCCGATGAATAACCAAATGTATGCTAGTAATAGATTTGTAATGATATGCCTTTTCTACCGCCTGTTTGAGGGAATGGTAAGTCGTGCTATGATGTACTGCATGTAAAATGTTTACATCCAGCTGTGCCACTGAAATGAATTCAGTGCCAGAAACCTGATAAGTTGCTTCCTAGAATTGTCACCCCGTTCCTTCAGAATGCAAGAAATGTTGATATCGTCAAGCTGGTGATGGTCGTTTGTTCTTTTGTCTTGCCTATTATGCTCCGTCATTCTGGTTTTAGTTCTTATTACCGGTCTATTAGAAGAAGCCATTGCAAATCTTGTTTGTGCTGAGAAACTCTGCCTGTCAACACTGCACAAATTACTAACCAACAAATTGAGATTTTTTTTCGTCTGGTTTGGTTCGTGTGGAAGTCTAAAAATGACTTGTGCTGGGATGCATTTTCGGATGCTTGACTATGATGCCAAATAGAACGTGTAAAAAAGAAGTGACTAGTTTACTCCCTTGGTCCCCTGTCTCAAAATGTAATAATTTATAATTCTTTAGGTGATAGCGAATGTTAAGAAGGAATTATGGTAGAAATAGCTACTTATCTTCGCAGGATAGATAACCCGCTGACTCGGATTATAATAGAGTCAAGAGATAATAGATGTAATATGGGTGATTTATACTCTCTCCGTTTCAACTTATAAGATGTTTTGACTTTGGTCAAAGTCAAACTACTTTGAGTTTGACTAAGTATGTAGAAAAAAGTAGTAACATTTTCAACCCAAGACAAATTTATTATAAAAATATATTCAATTAGCGATTTGATGAAACTAATTTAGTATTATAAACATTAATATATTTGTTTATAAACTTAGTCAAACTTGAAACAGTTTGACTTTGACAAAAGTCAAAACGTCTTATAACCTGAAATGGTTGGAGTAGTAAACGTTATCTTTATACTCCATGTTCTAGCTGCTATGTTTTGAATAGATTTAAACTCTAGAACTTTGCTATATTTTTTAATAGTACTATAATATGTGAAGCGGGACTAATATGACATCCTTCACCTTCAGATAGATACGATCTTCTTGAGAAGACTAGGGGCTTTCCTGAAAAATTCTTGAGACTAGGTTGGCAAAGGCTCGAACACCTGAACGGCAAACCTCTCCGAGACTCCGATGCGCGCTCTCCTCCGCCTCCGCCGCCGGTTGCCTCTGCCCATAAACACGAGGGCCTTCTCGCCGTCTTCACCCTCCCCTGCGCCCCATGAGATCCCCACCGTCTACTCCTTCCTCCAGCCTTCCGTCTTCGCGCCGCGGCCCAAACCCCAGCCGCCGCCGCCGCCGCCGCCACCTACACCTCCCGCGCACAAGACGCTGCCCGTCGGCGATGCCGTCGCGCTCGAGGACGAGCTGCTCGCCGCCGTCTCCGAGGACCGCTCGGACGACGCGTGGCTCGCGTTCAGGTCCCTGGCGTCGGCCTCCCTCTCGCCCTCGCCTCCCGCCGCCGCGGCGCTCGTCTCCCACCTCGCCGCAGCGCACCACCACCGTCTCGGCCTCAAGCGTGCCTTCGCGGCCGCCGTGTTCCTGCTCGAGAAGAGCCCCCACGCGGACCCCGTCCCGGAGGCCGCCCTGCAGGCCGTCTTCACTTCGCTCGCCGCAGCGGCCTCCGCCGCTCCGGCCTTGGCCCTCGTGCGCGCTCTGCTGCGCTGCGGGCGCCGCCTCCCGGCTTTCCCTGTCTGGGGCTCCCCGCTTATAGAGCTCACGCGCGCTGACACGGGCGCCTTCGTGGCCTTCTTGAAGGTCTTCGACGAAGCCTGCAAGCAAATGGTGTCGGAGAAGTCCCCCTCTGCGGCAGCGGCGATGCGTCCTGACCTTGCTGCCTGCAATGCCGTTCTTGGTGGCTGCTGCCGTCTGCTCGGTTCAGTCACAGAAGCTGAGAGGGTATTGGAGATCATGTCGGCTATTGCAGTGTCGCCGGATGTGGATAGCTTCGGATGTCTTGCGTTCTTGTATGCTTGGAGAGATATTCCAAGCCGTGTTGATGAGCTCGATAAATTGCTGGATGCGTTAGGATTCGGCAAGAAGATTTTTTTCAAGAATTTGATCAGTGGGTATTTGAAGAGCTGCAGCTTTGAGTCAGTTTCATCAGTCATTCTTCGTGTGGTGGAGGAGAGAAGAGTTGGGGGTAGCAATGCATTTGATTTAGAAAGCTATACAGAGGTTGCACAGCGTTTTGTAGATAATGGGAGGATCAGGGAATTAGCTCAGTTGATCATCAAAGCACAGGAAACTGAGTCATTGCAGCAGTCACTGGCAGTTGAGGATTCTGTTGGGTTTGGGATTGTCAATGCTTGTGTTGAGCTTGGCCTATTGAACAAGGCTCATAGTATACTCGACGAAATGACTGCTCAAGGAGCCTCTGTGGGGCTAGGTGTATACTCCTCAATCCTGAAAGCGTATTGCAAGGAGCAAAGGACTGCAGAGGCTGCACAGCTTGTCTCAGAGATTAGTGCAGCAGGGCTGCAGCTTGATGCTGGCAGTTATGATGCTCTTATTGATGCTTCTATGACAGCCCATGATTTCCTATCTGCATTCTCTCTCTTCAAGGAGATGAGAGAGGCGAGGTTACCAGACCTTAGGACAAGCTATCTTACTATAATGACAGGCTTAACAGAGAACAACCGTCCTGAGCTTATGGCATCATTCTTGGACACAGTCGTCGATGATCCGAGGATAGAAATTGCAACACATGATTGGAACTCAATAATACATGCCTTTTGCAAGGTTGGGAGGTTGGAGGATGCTCGAAGGACATACCGAAGGATGGTATTCCTGAGGTATGAACCAAATAATCAGACCTACCTTTCGCTAATCAATGGGTATGTCTCAGCGGAGAAGTACTTTAGTGTGCTTATACTATGGACTGAAGTGAGGAGGAAGGGGGCTGATTTCAACCATGAGTTAATTGATGCATTTCTGTATGCTTTAGTCAAAGGTGGATTTTTTGATATGGCAATGCAAGTGATTGAGAAAGCACAAGAGTTGAAAATATTTTTGGATAAGTGGAGACACAAACAAGCATTCATGGAGACCCACAAAAAACTGAAAGTGGCAAAGCTGAGAAAGCGGAATTTCAGGAAAATGGAAGCTCTGATTGCATTTAAGAATTGGGCTGGTCTCAATGCATGACATTATAATCTTTTTATCAGTCTATCATGACTGATTTTAATGGCACGTATCTGAGATGGCATCCCATAGTCCTCTTGGAAGTAACAAGCAGCGGACCTTCAGAGATGAACAAGTGAGGGGTTTTGTCATCATGTCAAATTTTGATAAGGTTAGGAAGGCCGGTGCGCTTTCGGTTTCTTCTTTTACTTAAAGTAATACATGTTTAACTATATAGGCTGACCTGTCTCTGTACTAGTTCTAGTCATTTACGCTGATGTAATCTCCAAACCATGAAAATCTTAAATGAGCTAATATCATGTTTATCCTGAAATACTCATGCAATACATATTTGTGTTCATTTGGTTCATTTAGATTCTCCAATCCATTCACTCCTCTTACTGTTAGTCCATTACATGGACAAGGAACTTCTGCTATCATGTTTCTGATTAAAATAGTTTGTACGGACAAGGATGTAAGAATAACTGAGTAAGCAGCTCACATGTTTCTGCTCTCTCATAGTGTTGAATAGTGAAAGCAGGAATAACCACCATAGTTGATAAGCCCTCAACACTAAAACTGAAACATTCTAAAATTGAAGTCTAGATGTTTCAAGTCCAGTACGAACAGCTTGTGGCAATTGGGCTCATAGTAAGAATGTAAGTTTTTCCTTTTTACTCTTCAAACTAAAAGAGAATGAAGTTTTGGACTTTTGGTTTTCGAAAAATTGCTAAGTTGTGCAGTGAAGGTTTTCGAAACCAGTTTCCTTAAAAAAATATATATTCAAAACCAATTCGGCAAGCAAGGCAAATGGAGGTAATTGAAGAGGCAATTTAAGTTCTAAAAGAGCATCCATAGAATACCAAATCTGCAAAGAAAACTGCACATCGATGTTCTAAAATAGCACCCATAGAAATTAAGAGGCAACATAGGTTCTAAAGGAGCATCCATACGATAGCAAATGTATCCGCGTCTCTGCGAAGCAAACTGCATCGGTACACGGCAGTCGACATCCATCAGGCGCATACTACATTATTACAGCAAAGACACGATATAAGTTTGGCCTTAAAAACATTATTACAGGTTGTTAACACAACCTTAAAGTTCTAATTAATTCAGCAAATTCTGGGAGATGCAGGGTGATCGGAGCCGATGAATCCCCTTCGCATGTTCTTGATTTTTATCTGCACACGGACCTCCCTTTTCTCCCTGTACAAAACAGACGAGAGCTCATCAGCAACACTAGCATAATATCAGGAATCAGATGGAACTTCATTAGCCTAGTTTAACAGGAAACTTGTCAATGAAATGATTACCTCTGGTGTTTTTCTGAATCTAGGGGTGGAACGGGCTAACCCCGTAGATACCAGAATGCTCGTTCATCAGCGTCTTCTTGACGAGGGCAATGGTGTCAGTCATGAGCCTGATTGCCGATGCCGCAGACCGGGAATACATGCGATCCCCACTGGCGAGCTTCACCGGAATCTGGAAGCCCATGGTCATGAGAGTTCCCCCAACCTCGCCGAGGGCGATGCCGCTGCTGTCCTGGGCAGCCTCGACGTCAGGGAGAAGGGAGAAGCCGGTGGGGTAGAGGGACGGCCCGCCCCGCCCGGGCGGCAGGTCGCTGGGGCTCAGGACCATGGTGTTCATCAGCTCGCTGTCGATCTGGGAGTAGACCATGAACGAGCCCGACGCGTCGTACCCGTTGTTCTGCAGGATCATGGTCCTTCCCCTGTCCTCCCTGCCGGCGCGCTGATCAACACCGCACATATTGTCGGAGTCAGCCGGAGTACGGCACGAGAGATGGCCGGTGGAGGTAGCAAAATTAAGGTTTGTGGTGCGGTACCTTGCAGTGGAGGACGGTGACAGTGTCGTCGTTCCCGACGCCTCTGGCGATGGTGACCTCCTCCTTCACCACGCTGCCGTGCACCAGGACGTCCCACTGCACGGCCGGCCGGCGTCGCGGTGAGTTCGCGAGAATTAGGAAAGAAACTAATTTTTCTTCTCTTCTTTTTTTGTTTCGTGTACGTACCTTGCAGCGGTGAGTAAGGTTCCTGAGCAGATCGAAGGTTTTCCTCATGGGCAGCGGCAGACGCAGGGACGCGGTGACGGACAGGATCGCGTTGTAGCTGCTGCTGCCCTCGGTGGTCCTCCTGTACGCGACCCTGATGTCCTTCTCCGTGCCGGCGCCGATCACGACGGTCCACGTTCCTCCGCCAGTGGCGGCGATGCCGCCGGCGAAGCTCGCGAGCAGGTCGTCCGCTAGCTTCATTAGATTCTTCCTCCCCTTCGTGCTGACTGAGACACACACACACACACACACACACGCACACAACAAAACAACGAAAGGATGGAAACGTTGTTCATGCAAAGCTGGAAACGGCTCCCTGTTCTGACAGGAATGCGGCAATTTTCAGAGTTTCAGGCACCGAAAGGATTTTACAGGTTGCCATTACCTTGCGGAGCTGTCTTGTTGTGATGAACATCTCTCATGCGTGCAGACTGCCGCGCCATGGTCGCCACCCAGCGCCGAGCTCCGAAGACGAGTCCATTCATACAAGGCTGGTAGAGCTCATGAACACCGGTGTCATCCGCAAGGACGTGCTCTATGGCAGTGACCTGCCAAGAAGATATCATACGACAGATCAGATACGGGATTGAATATATTGGTAAAAAACAATTCTTGGCCATTTTTTTTATAACGTTTGTGTGTCACAATACCTTGCAGCTGTTTGGCCTTATGGATTGGATCAGAAACCCTGATGGCATTTTACGGCATTTGGAGAAGATACTGCCATCGTCCAATGACACATCAATGACGACCACTAATCCTTCGTTCAGCACATTACAATAGCGCAGGAATGTGCATTTCCTAGCCGGTACCAGGGGCGATGGGAACATCATCTCGACAGTCATCTGTTGTTCTCAAGAACTGTTAGTACCAACTAAAAAGCACATGAATATATATCACCAAAAGGTAAGTACTGCTGATTTTGCCTGCACTCTATTTCCCCATAAGATATACTACTAGTCTATACATACCAGTTGTATAACCCCATTATAACCATCACTGGTAGGCCACGTGTAGATCCTGTTGGTTACTGCCCCGGAAATAACTTCAGGAAAGAAAGTTCGGTAGTTGTACTGCAGTAAAAATTTAACATTGAGATCAAATTGCAACTTGAAATATTATCTAAAAAGAATTGATACGGGCATTCATATTCACATCTTTTTAGCAAGGCACTATTAAAATCTATATACCACTTACAGGATCCATGAGGAAATCCACAACGCTTTTGTAGTCCATCATCACCATAGAAACTGCACGAGTAGCCTCTGTCTTGAATCCAATGGCGTTTGCACTGTTATCCCCAGGATATGCTTGGTCATAAGCCATCTTGTTCAATACTTCATAAGAACAGCCAGGGACGGGAAACCATAGAGCGACATGGGATTCGGCCAAAATAATCAATGCGTGCATTGCGTTTTTGGCTAGTTCAGCAATCATTTGTTGGTCATGTTGCCCTGAAAATACATAGTCTGCTGATGAATTAAGTTGAAAGGCAAGGTTTGCAGCCGGGGGTGTTCCATTCGACCGTGCAATCTGACAAACAAACAACACAGCATTAGTTCAATTCTAGATACAGTCTCTATAGGACTCTGGAGCTTGGGAAATAAATTCCAGACAAACTATTTAGGAGGTAACCACAATCTATAGTTAGATAGGGTGCAGATTGGTAATCACAAGGTAGATCAGATTGTGCAAATAAATGAATCATATTGAGAACATAGTTTAACATGTATGGTTGCAGCTCGAACAAATCCATTCAAGATACTGAATTGAAAATTCAACATGCCAAGTAATTGTAATTTAATAGGAGAACATATCAGAAGATGATGTACCTCTTGTTGCAGCCACTCACTCTGCCCCATTAACCTTTCCATCTCAACGGCAAGCTGGTTCTGTACTGATGAATTACAGCAAGTGAGGCATACAGCAGTGCAGTGAGCTATCTTAACTCTCCTGTTCTCATCCCTCAGAATTTCATTCTCCACCGACAACTTATAGTTCTCTTCCTTCCAGCACATAGTCTACATTGTGTCATGGAATTTTTTTTTAATCATTCCACTAAACTTTTTTGTTCATCAGTACATAGCAATGTTTTAGAACAAACCTTTACTTGTGTTCTTTTATTCTGAAACCAAAACTTCACTTGATCTAAACCAAGACCTGTTGTCTCACTCAGATGCCTCTTTTGTCCATCATCGGGATGCCCACAGATGCTGAAAAACCTGTTCATCCAAGAAAAATGAAGATAACCCACATGATGAAATTCTCCTCAGAAAGGAGTACCATACTGCAACATACACAATATATTTAACCAGGATAGAATCCTTTCTTTTTATAAAGCTAATACCCACTAAACATTTTTATAAAGCTAATTCTCACTAAACACCTAAAACTCAACATGCAAGCATTGTATTTATTAGCACTCTTAAAACCTACATGTCAGCATGCAACATCAATCCATTAAGCATACAAAGCTCAACATATAAGCATACAGTAATTATATCTATAATTTATTTCATTCTAAAACTAAACATACATATGCTAAATCATCATTCTTAAATTATTTTCGTAATATTTCAATCTAAATCATTTCATCATTTCTCCAATATCTAACATCTCGCATCAAAGCGCGGGTCATCATCTAGTTATAACATATAAGAGATGGATATATCTAGAAATATTTGTTGATGTAATAATAATAATAATAATAATAATAATAATAATAATAATAATAATAATAATAATAATAACAACAACAACAACAACAACAACAACAACAACAACAACAACAACAACAACAACAACAACAACAACAACAACAACAACAACAACAACAACAACAACAACAACAACAACAACAACAACAACAACAACAACAACAACAACAACAACAATTATAATTGCTAGCTTTCAATAAATGATGATATGTGCTTCAAGAAACATACCCCTCAAGTACCTCCGACTGTTTGCCAGTGAGCCTCTGTAGACGCCTCTTCCTTTTTTCATTAGTGTTGCTACTGTTCACAGGCAACAAGCCTGAGTCGGCCTCAATTGCTGCAAATAATTCTCTTGCTGGAATACTCATTCTCTGCTCCCCATCATTCTGATTAAAAGAAACAAGATACTCTCAGTGCTAGATTCACAATTCATTCTACAAATTATAGTCAGTCAGAGAGCTAAAACATAATACTCCGGCACATTGAACTGAAAAAAAAAAACAAATAATTTAAAAGCCATCAGAAACTGATAATGTACAAGGCATCTATAACATGCCAAAAATAACATTCACCTTTGTTCGTTGGTTATACACTGCCTTTTCTAATCCTTCCTCTCTGACTTAGTACATAAGTTTAGGTACAGTAAAAAAGGAAAACCAATGACTAGTATATTTAATAAAGGCATCTGGATTGAAATTGTATACGTACTATTAAGGCCCCTTTGTTTTGGCCCATATCTAAACAAACAAATATCCTTTTTATAGGCACACATTATTAAGTCAAATGCTAAATTTAAGTAGATTTTTTAGTTACGTAAGTTAGAGTTAGGATATTATATTTAAACTTAAGACTTAAAAGCCACCGATTAACAAAAGTGTACACTGCTGGGCAAAGCCCCGGCAGTATTTCCGGTCAAAAAAAAATGTACAAGTCAAAAAGTCAACTTAAAATCCTAAACCGAACAGAAACTATAGATCTCACTAATTACCTTTTACCAACCACTTACCTTGTTTATGATCTCATTTATGATATACCTCACGAGACTTTAATATTTTTTCGCCGGGCCGGCGAATAGCCGGCCAATGTATATTAAGAGTAAGAAAGGGAATGTACAAGGTAGCGCGGTGCGTCAATGCACCACCATTACAGACATAAAAAGAAAGCTAAAATCTCACAGAATGAGTTGCTACAGAGTGACACATGGGGCTAACAAGACCTGCAGCTATCCAAGTCTCCCATTCATCCCCCATGGCGGAACAGAGCTGGGGAATCGTTGCCGCGATCCCTTCGGACTTTAATATTAATAGAACCCTTCTAGAAAAGATGGCTTTAGTGATCCTAAACATCAAAATAAGCAGGCCAGGGTAATTAAACAACTAAAACAACTTGTCTAAGGATTATTTTTTAGACAGTCCAGAGGTATCGAAACTTTACGGGTAAAAAAGAAGAAAGGCAGGATTGACAACAGGATGTACAGAAAAGAAAAGAAGAAATTATAGCTGTACAAGTGTCTATGGATTATTATGGTCTGGAGTTAGTTTTAAACCTTTACTACTCTTTTGTCTTTTAGAGCTTGTTTGGAATGTATAAATTAAGAAAAAGAAGGGAACATGACAAAAAAGTAGGAATCGCCTTACCTACATGAGAAAGAATCGAAGGATTGTGTTAAAAATAGCATTTCATTATACTGGTCCACAGTAAACACAGGGGACATATGTTAAACATTGCATGTATGTGGCATACATGTCATACACCAAATGCCCTCACAGAAGATTTCAACAAAGGATTTGTTTTTTTTTTCCCACAAGGATCATGAAAAGGTACCGCTCAATGTGGTTTTCAAAGGAATTTTGTGCATGTGTCCCCTTTTCTTTTCAATCATAACATGTAAAAAAAACATAAAAACACATGCATATGCTATTTTGAGATCTCTACTATTGTTAAAACGAAATCCTACTCCACCATCGTACTTCCACACCTAAAGAAATTATACCCAAAAAAACCACCCTACCCAAAACCAGTACTTTTCACCAACAAAATAAAACACTTATACTGAACCCCATAAAACCGTTTGTTTGTGTTCCCGCAGATCCCGTTGCAATAGACAGGCATAGCCGTAGTTAGTGAAACACAGTAAAAATGAGAAACGAGAGTTAGAAAGGAGCATCTAATCCTTTCAAAAAAAAATATAGAGAGAGAGAACATATAAACAGAAATCTTGCCAAACTATTTCAAGAGCATACCAAATATAACACTAGAAATCAAAGAACCATGCATGCCAGCAAATCTTCAAGATTCAGCTCGGTATATGCAAAGATAATGGACCAAGGAAACATGACGCTCACCAAAAAAAAACTTATTTACAGAACAGAAGTATGCCCTTATGTGCTCACATTTTGTGAAAAATCATTCTTCTATCCCAATTCTTTCGGAACACAAGCACAAAATTCTCAAGAGAAGAACTATGAAATTTTGGGAGAAAATACCGGTAGTGTTGCCGTCCCGTCACCAGCAAAACCGTTCATCAAGGCCACGAAAGATTCGTTGCCCTCATTATGCTGTTGATTCATTTCCATCTCTGGAGATTCAACCCTAAAGGTTGCAAGTGACTCCCAGTGTGTCGTTCACCCAGTATTCTGTATTTCGATTCTGTTGTATTTCCCCGTGTATTTGCCTTTGCCCTCCCCTCTATTTATATAGCATTTGCCAGAAGGAAAAAATATATTTATTATATATTGGTGTTTATCTGTGGTCCTCATCTGTGTATGTGCACGATTTTTTTTAATTAAGTTGGCTTCAATAAAACAGTAACGTTCGCTTAAGCCGAGCAAAAATGATAATTCATTGCTCCTTAACAAAGTGACGATGTTGGTAATCTCTTCGCGGTAAAATATATACAAATTAGTGGGATTTGTGGGCTTGTGGCTCCTTAAAAGCATGCATCATGCCAATGCATGCAACAAATGTGTACTTAGTGAGGATATAAAAGTAATTGTGGCTAGCTAAGTGATTACAGTTTAGGAAAACTGAGGATTGCAATCAAATTCAAGGCAGATATGTCCATGTATAATTCGTATCCTAATGGATATATAATTTTCAACAGGCATTTAGAAATGCTCTACCATTTAGCGAAGTAACTGTTGATAATGAAAATTGTGCAAATTTAGTTTCTCATGTACGAAATGATTTTCAGACACCGATGTTGAATGAAATATAAAGCCGTTTTAACAATGCGACCGATAAACTAGGTTAGTAGGAGGAAGGCCATATTTGGCCCAGCTTCAGATTATAATCTAAAGCAGCTTAATTTGAATATACGAACTCCGCCAAATATGGCCATAAAAACCAAGACGTCATATTAGTTGGATTGTGATGGGCCATTATGCGCGCTTATATTCGAGTCAATAGTTAGCAGAATTACAGGTTGGCCTGGCTAGATCGCTGCTTGGAATGTCAGATATCCGTATTAGATATGTAATTTTGCATCTATTATTTTATAAATGAACGGTTATTCTTTGATGGATGTAGTATCGTTGACATCTCCCTCTTTCTCGCTGTGTTCTCTTTGAATAGTTAGTATCTCTATCCCATAAACTCAGATGACAGTTATATTTTGTTGACAGAAGAATAATGCTTGCAGTTTCTTTCAAAAACAACTAGGTAGTTGATCAATAATTATAAATTATGTACTCATTTCCCTTCGTTCATCTTGATTATGAAAGAATGCAGGAAAAGAAAGATCTATATATTCCTTTCCATTCGTTCATCTCGATTAAAAAAAATGGTTTCAAATCAGTAGTAAAAGCATGTGTAGATTGCTGCAACGATGCCAATAACAGCGAGATATAGAAAATTAGTTAGTCTTAAGCGGCTAATGGCTATGTGAGAAAGTTAATTAGATGACAGAAAATCAGGAGGGTTAGTTAGAATATTAGTGATTCTTAAGTTATTTTCTATCCCTAAAATGCCCTTTGGAGCATCAACGGTGGATATTAAGTATCTTAGGAAGTACATGAGGTACCTTCCAAGCACCGTAAAAGGCCTCTTTTTTTTTTTGGGCCGATCAAAATGATGGACCCAAAATATTACAAGATTTCCACGAATTGCGGGAGCATAGAAAAGTCGAGAAAAATGCCGACAATCTATGTATTGATTCATTCTTGTATTGGACCATAATATGTTACCCATATCTGGCCCAATGCTTCTCTTTTTCGACATGTGAATCGATACATTTAGAAAATAGGTGGTTGGATATTTTTCGAAAATAGACATGAAAAACAACCATCTTTTTCTTCATTTTTTCATAGTATATATGCCCTCCTAAAGAATTGTTGCTCCTAAAAGAAACCTGTTTAGTTTCTCTTTTTTACCACAACAACAATGAATTGATTAATTATCAATCGATTATATCACATTGAATAGGAACACTTATTACATTATTATAGCACATATTAGCAACAAACTTAATCAAACCAACAATGAGTACATCTTTCTCTGTAAGCAAAGCATCCGTGTGACTGTGTTAGTGTGTTATGCTTGATCCACATCAACACGGTCATTTCAACAAAACGTATCAAACGAGTGCATAGAACAGCGTCCCAATGGCCAGCCCGGCCGCGCCGGCAATGCCCGCCGCCCTGGGGCGCGCCGCGGCGTTGATCGACTGCTCCGGCGTGGGCGAGATCTCGATGCCCGACGGAGGAGGCGGCGGCGACGGTGGCGAGTTCGGGCTGGTGGTGCCGGCCGACGGGGCCAGCGCCGGCGCCGGCGCCGTGCCATTGGCGGCGCGCTCCCCCATGACCACGACGATGAGCTTCTCGTTGCGGTTGCAGTTGTCCTTGTTGCCGCTGATGAAGTAGTACGGGCCGGACCGGGTGAAGGTGAACACCGTGTTGCCGTCGGCGAACGTGTCGATCGGCGTGTTCGTGTTGCAGGCGTCGTACGAGCTCTTGTCGACGAGCAGCACCGAGTCGTTGCCGGGTTGGTAAGAGAACGCTGCATGCAATTAGAGGTTTGATCAGAATCAGTAATTCCCTAATCAAATTTTTTGAGAGCTGACGTCACGTGGAAGTTTAACTTTCTACCCCTTGGGAGTAAACCAAACGGTGACAGTGTCATTAGCCGGTGACAAAAGATCGTTAGCACTTAAACACAGTTCGATACAACCTAAGGGAAAGGAACCGTCATTCTATCTCGCATCTGTCGTGTTGCGTCTCAACGGGCAGAGAGTGGAAGTTTTGCCGGTGGAAGCTTCGCGGAGATAGAGAGATAGAGAGATCAAGCTTAGAGATAGAAACGACGTAAGCTATCTAGCCATAGCGTCAAAAGTATGCATCAACAGATGGGATTGGAGATATGCATCTGTGGTTCTCCATGGTCAAGGTGGGGAGAAGGAGAGCCAGTACAAAATTGCGCACAATTGTCAGGTGTGACTCATAAATGAAGTGGCCCTGTGCCCCCTGTGTCATCCTGGCAGCCCAACGTCGCTTGCAAATTGATAAATGATTTCGATGCTACGGACGCGCATGATGTGTGTGCTTCGGCTCCATGCAACTAATGCAAACATATCTGATAACGCTCCACGATTTAGCAATTTTAGCGGACACCCAACACTACAACGTCTATCACCCTTTAATGCAGTACAATAAATATACATCTGATCGAACGGCTGGGAAAGAGCAGTCAAAGGGAGTCGGTGGAGAGCGAGCGTTGATTACCTATGGCGTCACCCACGCGAAACCGGGTGTGCTCGGCCCACTGGTTGTAGGCGCTGACGTTGCCGCTGGCCTGCTGATCCGGGACGCGCCACTCGCCCGTCCCGCCCGCCTTGAACACGAACGCGGACGCGGTGGTGGAGACCGAGGCCACCACGCACGCCACCACCACCCAGCATTGCATCCGCTGCACGCGCCCGTGTGCCATCGCGCGCGCTCTGCTACGACCTCTGGTTGGGTTTTTTTTGGGGGGGACGCTGGTGTAGTAGTGAATTGCTGGAGGCAATGCGGTTTCGGTTACGATCGATTGAACGAGACGGTGAAATATATATACGTGCACAAAGCAGGTTGGTTGTATCGGCGTTCAGATGTGTTACGGTTCTTTACGTAAAAGCGAGGGGACGTGATCGCGGGGAACTGGAATATTTGCGCGCTTTATGTTCTCGACGTGCCATGCTCTGCATGATGTGACTTTAGTGTTTGTGTGTTATTTATTTGTTGTTTAGGAGTTTTTTCGTTTGCTGGCACGGGAGCTTACGGGAACGGGAAGCTATGCTTTGCTTCCTATGTGTTGTGGAATATCCATGCCTTGAGAGCTGGTTCAGAGCAAGTGGCCGGGCCTCGATCCTACGGAGAAAAATGAACAGGTTCACTTTAGGTGTCTCAATTTGATTTTCATCTACAGTCCGCAAAACCAAATACATCACATCCCTTAACTTATAAAACCAGTCCAAACGAGGTGCCTTAGCACTATTGTCCCTATTTTTGGCTAACATGGCTCCTTTGACTAGGTCTTCGTCCCACCTGACATTGACGTGGCAATTTCATCCGGGAAACAATAAAAGGAGCTGACGTGGTAGCTGAGTCAAGTGTGGTACCCATATATCAGGGCAATTTAGTCTAAATAAAAATATTAAATTGGTGGGCCACTGTTAACGGAAAAATTTGGTAAGCCCCGAAATCATCATCGGTCTAAAGTCAGTATTGGCTTCAAAGTACTAGAATCAGCCGATGAGCATTATAGTTGGATTTCTTGATGGGTTCGATTAAGAAAATTAATCAATTAAAGAAGCTTATCTAGAAGATATCGAGTTCAATAAGGATGTGACATGTCAATATATCTATTAATTAGGTAGAGTTAGTTAGTTCCCTTTAGTTGTTATGAAAGTGTGTTTAGTGTCCTTTCTTCGCCCGCAGGCCTGTTGACGAAAAATCCGTGCTCGGCCGATGGTGCCGGGTCTGTGTTGGCACAAACTAAGTTGACGAACACAATGGTCTGGGAGATCCACTTAACTCCAGTGCAGATCTAAAAGTTGATGAGATGCGGACGTGCCAGTTAGTTTGATCCTACAACTGACAAGATATAGAAATAACATATCAAAGAGCCAATCGGCTTACAAGCCGATGGAGTAATTCTAGCCGATGTCGATAGGGTTTTGAGCAATCAGCTATATGTCCAATGTAGATGATGATACAAAGACAATCGGCTGATGATGATGATGTAATAAAATAATAATATAATCCATTAAACCAATCGGCTAATAATAACATGATAGAATAAATACTGATCAGAAAGTTAAAGCATATATCGGCTGGAGGTCCGATGTCATTAAATCCACAAGATTAGATAAACAATGAAATCTTTGTTGCGATCGGCTAAATCCAACTTGTATGTAATCCTTATAAGCCGATGCAACGTCCAGATAACTCATCGGCTAAAATCCCGATGTAACCCTTATTGGCAAACAAGAGGCAGAATAGAGATTACGGTTCTAAACATGACTTAGTAGGTCGAATGTACTGATGCAGCACTAAGTATGAAAAGAAACACAATATCTAGACAATCAAGCCTTTGAATGATTTTTAGGGTAGTAGATGTCTAAGCTAATCTAATCTAGCAAGACGATTTAGCCGATACCGACAGATACCGTAAAGCGAGAAGCAGCCGATAGAGGTAGATCGATATGCTAAGACTAAATTAACATAGATATATGATAAATTGGTAGGCAAATATATCAACCGAACCAAAGCAATCCAAGAGGTCGAAACGATGCAGCCTTGAACGATGTCGACGTAGCCAATACAATTGCCAGGGCCGGCAGAACGTAGGGCTGACCCCTTCGCTGGAGATCGAAAGCCGATGCAGCCTCGCGTCAAGTGCCAAGTTCCGCCGAATGATAAGTAAAAACCTCGGTAAAGAGAGTGGTGATGCGCCGACAGTAGTTGTATTGATCTATGAGATCGTTTACAATGACCCCGGGTGTACATATTATACCCATGGGTAGATACTAGTCCTTGTTGGGAAAAAAAACTTTCCTAAAGATAAAAGGAAAACATAAAGTCATTATTGGACACTAAACACACTTTTCTAAAATTAAAAGGAAAACCAACAGACTATTTCTAATTAAAAGATAAACTGTCATGCCGCATCCACCTTGAACTCGGTCACTTCTGGATAAACTTTCATTAGTAGATTAATTTCTTAAGAATCCGACTATTGGCGATTTGATAATTTCCATCGACCGATTCCAAGACTCTAGGCCGAGATGACTTCGGGGCTAACCAAATTTCACTGTTAATAAGCCCCCCCGCCTAGCGCTCGTCTATCCATCGCGGCCCTTCACCCCATCAGCTATCGGGCGCCGCTCGCCCGCTCTGCTCCGTCGGCCTACTCTGGCCGCCGCCACTCCGCGCTCCATGCCCTCCGCCACCCACATGCCAAAATAGGGAAGGGAGAGAGGAGTGGAGCGGTCGTCGCCGCTCCGCCAGCCACCCACCTCGCTCCGCCCACTCCCGCCTTCTTGTAGGGAAGAGAGAGGATAGAGGAGGGGAGTAGTGAGGATGACATATGGGGGCCATGTCACATGGGCCCACCCTTTTTTATTAGTTTTGTGTGTACCTAACATGTGGGCCCCACATGTTTTATTATTTTTCGGATCTAATTGCCACGTAGGACGAAGACCTAGTCAAAGGATCCATGTAAGTGCCATGTCAGCCATACCGGGGTTAATACTGCCCAGGGTACTCGTTTGCATGGTTTTGTAAGTGGGGGATCCTTGTATCTGGTTTTCCGGACTGAGGATGAAAATCAGACTTGCGACTTGAGGGACCTAGAGTGAACTTATTCAGAGAAGACTTGTGCTTCATGGGCCATTCCTTTGGGTTGGTTGCTTCATGGCTTGTGCGAGACTAGACTAGATTGTTTACATCCGGAATTCCTTTACAGCTTAATTAGGACTGCTACTATCAGGCTTATACTTGGGCTTCAACTGGAACGTACAGGACCGAACTATATTATGCAGGCCTTATTAAGCCCAGAATTGCATCGCAAAGTTTGGTGTTAGGTTGGGGAATCCCCTCTAGCTTAATCCAGCCATTAGTACGAGTACGAACACCACAAGTCTTAAGGCCCCGTTCGATTCAGATTTATCACCGGTATATAAAACAAACAAGTCGCACATGACTAGGTGGTAGGTGGTGTTTGTATCTTCTGAAGAAGATGAAGATTAAATAATTTACGTAAAATAAGGTGGTAATAACGTGTGATAAATTAAATTTTAATTATTGCAAACTTGAAAAATGAATTAATCTGATATTTTAGAACAACTTTCATATAGAAAGTTTTCGCACGAAACACACCGTTTAACAGTTTAAAAAGCGTGCCACGAATATCCAAAACTTAATCCAGTTTTTAAGTGGAAACGAACGGAGCCACATATATACAAAATTTTCAAATAAAATATACCGTTTAACGTCGGAAAGTATGCTAACTAAAAACAAAGGGATATCTCAGTTCAGAAGCGGAAAAAAATTTCAACCTAAAGTGGAAGTGGAGAACCAAAGATTGCAGATGTGGGTGTTCTTCTCTCCTTTGGGGCTTCTTTCCCCCAAAGGACGTCGGCAGGCACTGATCCAAATAGCAACAAGACAAAGTTAGATTCTTGATGGCTTGATGTCGGTGGTCTTCGAATTCCACAGCCTTCGATCGCCACAAATTCAAGTCAGTTTGAGCGTGGCATATTGGCCCTCCGGCGTTGAGTCTTTGGTGTTAGCAAGTCTGCATGAGGAATTGGTTGTTGTTGAGCTAGGGTGCCAGCTCTAGGTTGATTTGGTTTTCGGCTAGGTAAGTTTGCAGGTGGCAAACGCCATTTGTTCTCTTTGGGGAGGTTGTCTCTGTGTTGTATTATCTTCTCTGTATTCCTCGTGTATTCTCTACTACTATCCTCCAGGACACCTGCGATTGCGTAGATGAAGCCTGCCCTGTGTAAAATCTCTTGATGCAATATATTCTGGTGGAGAAACTCTTCTCTCTGGTGACTTGCTAAAAAAAAGATTGCAGATGCTGTAGTCCAAGCAATGAGTTGGATGTTTTTTAGCTTGAGCAGCTAGTATTACCGTGGTACTAGGGTTTATATTTTTGCGCTCCTTACCGATTTATGGAAACCATTAAAAATTGACAACTTTGGATTAACACTATACGAAAACTAACTAATATTGATCGGTTTTTTAGCGGTTTCACGAAAATTAACTAATATTGATCGGTTTTTTAGCGGTTTCACGAAAATTAACTAATATTGATCGGTTTTTAGCGGTTTCACGAAAACCAATCAATTTTGTGAAGCTTGTCCGCTAATTTTTCAGTCGATTAGCAGACTTACAAAAGTATGCATAGTGCATCTTTCGAAGTATATGACTCATCTGAACAACTTGCAAGGATCCTAGTTGAAACTTTGAAAGTCTGCACTATGCGGTATGCATATCACTGAAGTGGAACGATACACTACATCCTACTCACCACTCCACAAACATGCCCATCGATGTGGTAGGCTGTAGGAAGATCAGAACAAATCAGATCCAATCTCGTTTGTCAGATTGGCTAGCTGTACAGTACTAACATCCTCCTAAAATAACCTCGCTATGAAGGTATGTGGCGCCAATGAGACTGTCACTTTTATCCCCACTCCCACTCCGGCACTTCACCAGTTCACCACCGTGGCACTCCCTGGGACTGAAGTGGAACGAACTAGTCCAAGACTCGGAGTCGTCTCCTCCCTCCGTCAGCGCTTCCATCTTCCACTCCACATCACGATCGCGGGCGCCGGTATGCTTCTTCCATTCCACCTATGTGTTTCTTCCTTGCTAACAAATCAACCAATTTGTCCATTCCCTATGTCATCTCCTATAGAAACTCTAGCCAATTCGTTCGTTTCTTCTTAAGTTCCACAGAATCCCACCTGATGCTCGCCCAACAGTTGCATCTTGTCTGCTGATCAGATCGAGGTTCAGAAATTAGTCCCCATTCCTCTCCCATAGGCA